CCAATACATGGTAATAATCACAGAAATTCCTACTTTCAGAAACCTACCAAGTTTTTTTGGTCTTTCAATTTTCCTTGTTTTATAATCAGAAAAACTAAACCTTAGAAGGTTTTATTGAGAAGGTTATATTTTTCTTCAGAAGCGGTCTCATGGAACCGGACACCAAAATTTTAAAAATTCAAATAGTTTTCTTCCTAAAAAGTATTTGAAATGTTGTGGATGTTCAATATTTCAAAAAATCGTCCCGTTGTTCCGTTTTTTGTGCACACGCGAGTTTTCGACATTCAAACGTTCATAAATTTCCTCATAGCCTACTTTTTAGCGATTAGCGCTTTCGAACAAGCGACTTTTTGCATATGTTCAAGGCTAATTAGAAACTAGAAGATTAGAGCTTTCGAATAAGTGCTAAAACTTTTTGAAATAATCACTCGCTCAAAAAATAGTCCCGTTCCGTTTTTTCCACCTTGATTTTTTTCAAGCCATTTTCCTGGACCGCGACTATGCAGTCTTCAAAGGCCCATAACTTCCTTCAAAATTAATGTGATGAGAAGCGGTAAAGACTGTTAGAATCTACTCGAAGAGTACTTCAAGTGTGAAATTTCCCCTGAAATTCTTTCTTCTGCCTCAATTTCCTAAGGGGTTTCTAGAACTCAATTCAGCAAGTTCGCTACACTTTGTTCCGCTTAGATTTGATTTGAAAGCATCAAAATTCTCTTTGAAGTTTGTTTGCTTACGGCCCCTGACAGAGAAAGCGTTTTTGTGGGAAAGCCTGCTCGGGTATACGCCGCGCCCCTGTCGCGGTCGACGCGAGCGCTCTCAGATTTCTCGCGGCGTCCCGCCCCTCCGAGCGGGGCTTCCTGCTCTGTGTTCAAGCCGTGAGCGGCTGTAGACAATAAAAGTCGTTCCAATCCCACTGAACCACATCGTGCTCAGTGCCTGAAGGCACAGGTTTTGGTGCATCGGCCGGGAATCGAACCCGGGCCGCCCGCCTGGCAGGCGAGCGTTCTACCACTGAACCACCGATGCCTTGTTCATGTTGAATCTTCACTCTCGTTGGTGAGTTTGAAGGAGAAACTGGTAAGTTGAATTCGAGTGGAATTTTCTGTGCAGAAAAATGTGTGCATAAACGGTTCACGCACAATTCGAATGCAGGACTTGGTGGTCGAATAAAGATCAAACCATGAGCGCAGCTGATGTTTTTCTAGTAAGCAGCTGTCGGGCTTATGATAAGCAGTATCAAAAGCAGCAGGGGTGTAATTACACCTTGACTGAGTGAACTGCCCTTTGTCGGACGGTGTTCCATTCGTGCGTTTTTACTTTGACCGGGTTGATCGTCTCTGGCACATTCTTCGTGGCGTTGTTTATGTTGATTTTGTCTTTCATACGCCTTTGCTTTTGCTGCTCTCGGCATGCATGCTCGAGCGGGCGAGGTGATTTTTTGTGTATCTGCTGGCGATGAGTAGTTTTTCTGTGTACTTGCCATTCGGGATTGATCATCGCTTCGTGTTAGAGTTGCTCTGATTTCCAGTGGGTACAGTTTACTCGCTGGCCGTTGGATTGGCACCGACCTGTTCGGAAGCTTTATTTTCGCAGAACGGATCTTGCCATCTGCGCTTGTGACCAACTCAGTTATTTTGCCGATTGCCCAATGTTCATGTGGTATGAACTCTTGCTCAATCAGCACTATCTCGCCTTATTCAGGGATTGATCTTTTGTTGGCTCTTCGCGTTTTGAATCTTGATTTGTGTATGTGTCTTAACAGTGTTAAACATTCGCAGTTCCAAGTGCTCCAGAACCTGTCTGCGAGTTTTTCAGAGTACGCTAAGTCTTCCTTAGCTTGTGAGACCGTCTGTAAGAAATCCTCGTCATAAGTTGAGTCATCGTCACCATCGACTGCATGACGTGTTGGTAGCGAAAATTTGAGATTTCCCTGGAGAAAATCTACTGGTCGTAGCGGATGTTAGTTTTTGATGCATCCTCCCACCAACAAGGTCGTTTGTCACTTAATGACGTGTTGTATACAGGTGCATCATTTTAACATAATACACGATATCCTTGCTAGTAGACAGCCACCCATCATTCTCCTCGCTGATATCCAAGCGGCATTCACTCAAATACACATAGATGAAGACTCATCGAGACTTATGTCGATTTTTGTGGCTACGTGACCCAACGAGTCCACCTATACCCGACAATGTAATAGAATATCGCTGGAAACGCGTTCCCTTTGGAACCACGGTCTCCCCGAGTATGCTGAATATGGTCATATCCGCTCACATTCAATCGCTCGACACTCCATTAGCATGCGAAATTCTGCGCTATCTTTATGTAGATAACGTGCTAATGACTGCACACAATGAAGAGAAAGCAGTCCAGAAAAATCACGAGTCCAAAAAACTTTTCGCTGCACTCGGTATGAACCTGAGATCTTTCATCAGCAATGCAAGTGCAGTCAACGCACAGCTAGACGAATCGACGCAGACGAACGCCTTGCGGTCCAATGAAACTGCTTGGAGTGAGCTACAACCCAATAGCAGACGTCTTCTCATTCTCCGTGAATAAACGTGGCAGAGTCAAAATAAAACGAGACGCCCTGAGAGAGCACCACTCCATTTATGATCCAATGGGGTTCAACGCCCCTCTCCTAATTAAGCAGAAGTGCCTACTCTGATCCATATTCAAAACCACAAAGGAATGGAATACAGAAATTGAACCAAAGTTAACCAAGGAATGGACCTCCATCTCCAAGGGGATGGATGACGTTCGCATAGAAGTTCCCAGAATGATGCTCCCTCAACATTGGTGTGACGCGATACCAGCTGTGGGTCTTTGCCGACGCAAGTAGTCAAGCTATGGCAGTGTGTGCCTACATGGAAAGGGATTCCGAAGCGTATTCCACACTGCTGAGCGGTAAGACGAAACTAGCTCCAAAAAACGTACACTTTCGGTTCCAAGGCTCGAGTTGTTAACACTATTGCTGGCGTTGCGCCTTGCTGAATCTGTCTCTTCCGCGCTTCCCTCTGAACCGGAACAAATCAATGTGGTCTGGAGCATATGTGCATTTCCGCGCACAAGTCAACGCATTCGCCAGTCAAGTTCGCATCGCAAATGCAAGTGTCAAATCAAGCACAAGTCGGCTTTGCTCAATGCACGAACACTCACTCCTGTGACTGCGATGCAAGTGGATATCGGCCCGTATGCCACTATGTCCGTATAACAGTTGGACACAGTTACTTGTCAATAATGATTTCGTCCTTCCCTTACCCACGCCACACTACACGTTGAAGAGCGTGAACGGTGCGGTAGTATCGGAATCCACAGAGTATGAATTCACTCTAGCAATCAGGTCCACTCGCCCCTCGATAGTGCCACGCTAAGCATCAGTGAGCCCTGCGCAATACGAGTCGGAACTATCAAAGGATGCTATAGTTGCACACATGGTGCCCTAATTTCCTTATTTTGCTTTGCATATTCCGCATCATGGACAACAGTTCAGTGCAGCGATCAAATTTCCTCAATTGAATATAACCTCTACAATACAAGCACTGTACTGCGTTTGTCCTTCAACAAAGCAATAATGGAGTCTGAATGTTGTACCAACTGTGGCGGGAGAAACGAATCAGTGGAACTCATCGGCATGTTGCATTACCACCCTTACGGGGACGAAAGCATGCTGACCAAAACTTATGAGATGGCTCCTCAATTCGATTGGTTCCGCAAATTTGACTTTCCGGACCTCACACCCTTATGGTTAGTAATAAGTTCCTACTGGAAATCAGCCATCGCTATTTTAGGCACCGTAATCTCGCTTCTGATTCTAACCTACATTTGCGGTCCGATCGTCCTATTGCTCGTGATGGAGGCGCTATTAGCGGTGCTAAAAACAGTGCTTATTGTGACACTGACCAGGATCCGCTGGCTATTCAATCATTCCAGGCGAGCTGGAACAGCCTGCGCGCGTCAGCGATCTTCCCGACAGTAAACATCACATATTTTATTTTACTTATCATATTCTCCTCACACTTCAGCATAACATATCTTCTTGCAACATAGAAACAATCATTCTATTGCCCCACCAACCAATGGAGGACGATATCGAACGCGAACTTCGCCTCATTGAAATGGACACTCGCGCATCCATACAAACGATCGCGGAAACCGTCTGCAGGATGTCGACTCGCCTCGAAGCAGTTTTTTCCAAGTTATCCCAAATTCAAGAAGACGTGCGTGTGCTTAGGGATCGCACACAACCAATCTCGAACTGTGCATTTTGCCCACTGGGCGAAAATATCGACGCCATCACACTGCACGCTGTCATCGACACCCTGACCCTGTTTCGAGAGATGCGAGCCTCTGAACTCCACCTATGCAGACGATGTCTGCGTCCCGAACATGGGGCAAACTGCTCCGTGACTTGTTAATCTGTCGTGGCGAGCACAACACTGTTCTGTGTTCCGATCGAGCAACTACTACACCATTCAAACGTCGTCACCGCTAATCGTCTGCTCCAATGGATGGTATTCAGCTCTTCTCCAATTCACCACATCTGTTCCCATGTCATCCCCCTCCTTCTGCCAACCCCCATGCCCTCCTTCTTCACGTCCCTCTGCTAACGCTCTATCATATTCATTGTTCTGGCAGCGTCAGCACTGATTCCACGACCGATCTTCACTAAAATATTCTTCGTATTTCTTCATCGTCTACACCGCCGCCCCGCCGAGAAAGGACTCCGTCGTCTTTTGGTTCTCTGCCACTGCACTCGAACTCCTGGCCGATACCTACCTTACTCGCTCTTTCTGCCCAGTAACGACTGTATTCATTCCATCGAATCACCCAGAAGTCAACCGCAGTCACTAACGGACGCATGCACCGGGCCACGACTGTGCACTCAGGGCGTACGGTCCGAGGTGGGAACCATGAAGAAGCACGAGATGTGATCGGTATTTGAACCTTTGTAGCGATGACTGTAACTATTTACCTGATTTATACTTGTACCTTTTCACATTAGTATTTACGTTTACGTTTACGTTCGTAGTTATTTCGCTTCCATGTCATGTCATGCTTGCGCTTCTATGTTCACGTTTATGCTTTATGCAATATTTTTGATGCATCCACTTGGCGTCGCGCGGAGTGTCGCGGTCAACGCGAGCGCTCTCAGAGTTCTCGCGGCGTCCCGCCCCTCCGAGCGGGGCTTCTTGCTCTGTGTTCAAGCCGTGAGCAGCTGTAGACAATAAAAGTCGTTCTAAACCCCAACGAACCACATCGTGCTCAGTGCCTGAGGGCACAGTTTTTGATAGGTATCTCCCATGAACTGCTCTACAATTTATTCTCCTTGGGATTTCAGGAATGTTCGATCATCGAAGACAGACCATGTTTTTGCACTACGCTGTAACAAAGTTTTTGGCTATTGTAATCTTGATCTATGCTGTCGAGAAAGCGCCGTCCGTGTATTAAGGATAATAATGGCTGATAGTGAGACTTATAATGCTCTGCATGCTCTAATGCTCCCATGGAGCTTGTCTGTGTGACTCTCCGACAGCTGCACGGTGCAGAGCTCCTGGAGAACATTAGAGCGTGAAAGTGCACTGCCGGACACTGCACTTTTCAAGCCGTCTTGCAGCCCGTCTCTCTGGATACGACCCCCTCCCTTTCTTTCGGCTGAATACGACCCCCTTGTTGTTCTTTGCGCAACGGGCGGTTGACCCTGCCAGAGATGCGGAGAGATTAGTGCTAGATGTCCCACCTATCCTTGCGTTGATTTACAAAGACTGTAGAAAAAAGCAAGGTAGATTACGCGAAGTAAACAGCTCGCTCATGCCTCTGCATCTACGACTCCTCGTTGCGGCTTCCTGTGAGGTAACCCACCCGGATTCGGCTACGCCCTCTCCGGCTTTTAGGTGCGTCGGCGGTGCAGGCCATAGAAAATTGCAACAGCAATGGCAATGACGTAGGCCTTGGCCTGGCTTGTCTTCTGCCAACGAAATAATTTGACGATAGCAGTCATTTTCTACTATTTCTCACTAATTACCACTGACTGTCTTTGATAAACTATCCGTCCTCATTACGAACATTTAATGATTGGATTCTTTCCGAAACTGTTGTCATCTGTACAGTACAGACGCACTTCGCCACGGTTTGAAGGTAAAATTCAAAGGTTTCCGAAAACCAGAGGCTAGTCGAGTGCAGACCACGAAACACAAGTGACGAGGCTTCTATGTAATGTAAGAATCTCCCACCATTGAAGTGATAGCCGGTTGCAGTTGTACTCCATCGGTTTTCGCTTACTGCAGCTGTATATCATCTATCACCATTCATAATGAACCAGTACTTACCAGATTTCCTTCAAGGTCGTAGTCAATTACGGTGTGTTGTATGCACTCGACCCGCTTCTGGTTCACGGAAGCAAAAAATGTATGCGTGGGTGACTGCTTGTCCGTCCGCAAACCCTGGAGCTAGGAGCTAGGAGCATGCAACAGAGACGGAGTTTAGGCGCTACCCTTTGTCCTCTTCTGTATTCTCTTATCCTTAGCACTGGAGAGCACTCCTTTGGACTCATCAATGGAAAGTACAAGATAATACGTGAACGACTCCATTCAAGTGCACTTTTGATGAAGAGGCGTCTCTTCCTGCTTAATTTCTCGCTCCTGTTCGTTCATCGTGAACTTACTGAACCCTCAGCCCTTTACAAGAATATCCACTGCAGTGGTTCGGGACCATTTCTGGGCCATTGCTTGCTGAAATATCTAAGCAACCCAGGAGTACTTTCACCCTACATCTGTACTTATTGAATGTATACTTTGAATTTCGATTACGTGCCATTATGCGCTTCTATTCTCATCTAAAGTTTTGAGGAATACCGAACTACCTTACTCGATCAACGCTTGCCTATGCTTACCCGTGTGAGGAGTTTTTAAGAAGTATGGGCGGTAAAAAGGATAAAAGTCCACGGATCTCCTTCACTGAGGGTCCTCTCTCACTGAAAGATCTCGAGCCGGTTGGTGGCGAGGCTACGTGGCGCGACCCCAGGTGGCGGATAGGGGGTAAATCGCGGACCAAAAGCCACCATGTACTTGCCCTGAGACGCAGGTGGATTCAGGGGATGGACTCCCTGTTTCTGTAGTGCTGTGTTGATTCATACCAGCTGTCTCCACTCAGGCGCATCCATGCATGCTTGCGTGTGTGGTGCGCTCTGTGTGTGTGCGGTTGGTATCCTGCATGTCGGCACAGCCAAAAGCTTGCATTCAAGTGACTGGGAAGTACATGGGAGGCGATTCGGGGCCGCCTCCAAAAAATAAGCCCCTTGTTCCGCTCCAGGATAGCGTGGCTAACTACCTGGAGGTCTATCCTAGCCCACACGACAGAGCCTTCAATATGCCGAAAACAGCAATATGGATGGGCCTCATTCCCCTGAACCTGAGGGAGCCCCCAATACGGCAGCGTTGGGTAGGACCGCTCGGGAGAGGCTGCTAGAATCTCAGGGCCCGGATAGGCTGCCTAAACGAAGAAGGACTAAGATGGCGATCTGTACTTTCAACGCACGAACGCTTGCATCCGAAGCTCACATCGAAGATCTGATGATGCAGGCCAGGAAGATCAAGTACGACGTCATCGGACTGACCGAGACGAGAAGGCACCGCCCGCTACACGCCGTTTTCGATACTGGAGAAGAACTGTTCCTTGGAACATGCGACAGCAGAGGCGTTGGCGGTGTGGGTGTCCTCGTCAACACGCACTTGGCCATAAACATCGATTCGTACGAAAGCCTTACGACCCGAATCGGACGTTTGAGATTGAGAAGATGTGGTTCAACTCCTGCTTTGACAATCTTCGTCGCCTACGCACCAA